CCATTTGTTAGCTGTGTGAACAAAGGCAAATTATGTAGCTTCTCCAAATTCCTGTTTTCTCAGATATAAAATTGGGGATAATACCAATACCATACTCATGGGTTTTTGTGGGGATGAAGTGAGATAAATGAAGATTAAAACTTAACATAGGGTCTGGCACATAGCAGGCTCTCATTAGCCACTCTTATCACCGTCATTATCATCATCACCTATGAAGTAAGAAAGAGCAGAAAGAATCATCCATTTTACAGCATGGAAAACCAGAGTCCATACTCAAACCATAAGATTCAGGAAGAAAACTGAGTTTTACCAACTCATCAATTAAGCTGTCTTTAGTCAGTAGCTCCCTTCCTCCGTGAAAGTGAAAGTGAAGTTCGCTCAGTAATGACCCCATGAACTATGCAGTCCATGAAATTCTCCAGGCCAGAATATTGGAGTGGGTAGTCTTTCCCTTCTCCAGGGGATCTTCCCAACCCAGGGATTGAATCCAGGTCTCCCACATTGCAGATGCACCTAAACCCTCCTTTAGAGGAATGTCTGATGGATGGAGTGGCTTCTACTCCTCAATGATACCCAGGGGGAGGGAGATCTTCCTTTCCACATGCAACCAGAGGAGGATTTGGTGAAAGCTGACTGACTGTGACACCCTAGGTGCGAATGTTCCATCAGACAACTTGGAACCCAGAGAACAGGGATTATGCTGTGTTCAGCCCACAGCATATTGTCACTGGTGAGGATGAACCTTTTATTTCCCTCTTATAGCCTGATTGAGAGCTAGAAGTGTTGGAATTTTGCTTTGTTCTGTTTGGTTTTTAACAACAAGAAGGAAGGAATGTGGTTTGGGAGTAGGAATGAAAGAATGAGTCTGCGTGTAAACGTTCAGATTGCAGGTTTTAAGAGCATAAAAATTTTGCTTATATAATAGCTTTTTCTTATGTCTCCCAATAAAACATATCAATATTCAATTACATTTATTGATAAATACCAATAAAATAACATATTGTGATTATTCACTTTGAGTAATAGCCTACAAATACACTTTTTATGATGGGGTAGCATAATGATCTGTATTTTCCAAACTTTAGAATTATAGTATACTTGATGATTTTCTTAAAATTTTAACTTTAAAGGACTATTTGTATTATTTAATATCCTCTTCCAAGTGTTTTCAATGTGTATTTATTATTTTGTGCACATGTATTTTCCCATTTAACACTATTTTCTGAACAAATTTTCATGTTTTCCCACAGTGATATTTATTTTAAGGTTAAATGCTCCATTGCATGAGTAGATGCTGTAAATATCTAAAGTCCTTTTGTCTATGCTATTTTTCTGAAGTATCTACAGAAGGTGTTTTTACCTTGATCAGAAGGTATAAATATTTTATAATTCTTATCAAAGTTATTTAGTACTCAACAAATTGACATTATTTTGGTCCCTATCAGTTCTTAGGATATTTCCAAATAAATAATCTGCTTTAAAATTAGCTTTAATAATAATTTACCAGAACCAAATAAACTTCAGAAATAATTCTTACAGGGGAAAGGGACTAAAGTAATTTCATTGAACATTAGAGACAGTTTGCATCTGTCTAGGCATTATTCATGGATTTAGTTAATAAGTGGGAAATTTGGGATTTAAACTTTGTCAATCTAGCTCCAGAATTTATGCACCAAATCATTGTCTGTTCTGCTAAACTTAATTCTTAAAGAATCCACCAAGGCATGTGTGCATGCTAAGTCACTTCAGTCATGTCTGACCCTTTGCGACCCCATGGACTGTAACCTGCCAGGCTCCTCTGGTCATGGGATTCTCCAGGCAAGAACACTGGAGTGGGTGCCATGCCCTTCTCCAGGAGATCTTCCCGACCCAGGGATCGAACCCATCTCTCTTACGTCTCTTGCTTTGGCAAGCAGATTTTTATCACTAGCGTCACCTGGGAAGCCAAAGGCATATGTTTTTAATCTCATTTTACAGAGAAAACTGAAGCCTACAGGGTTTCAATCAAGAGCTCAAACTAAGGTACTCGTAGGGAGTGGGTGTAAGATGACGTTTTTCCCTTCACTAGTTTTGCTTAGAATATAAAGCTCTCTCAATCTGTATTGATAGTCATGGTTATAAGAACTCTTTTGGTTTGCTGTTAGCCAAATGACTAGAGAAACAGCCACTCAAGAATGATAATGAGATGTGATTAGTGAGAGTTGCTGCTGCTGCTGCTATGTCACTTCAGTCGTGTCCAATTCTGTGCGACCCCATAGATGGCAGCCTACCAGGCTCCTCCGTCCCTGGGATTCTCCAGGCAAGAACACTGGAGTGGGTTGCCATTTCCTTCTCCAATGCATGAAAGTGAAAAGCGAAAGTGAAGTTGCCCAGTCGTGTCCAACTCTTCACGACCCCATGGACTGCAGCCTATCAGGCTCCTCCGCCCATGGGGGTTTCCAGGCAAGAGTACTGGAGTGGGATGACATTGCCTCCTCCGACTAGTGAGAGTTAAGACCTCTCAACTAGTCAACACAAACAACTTGAAGTTTAAGATGACCATTCTTGTTAAAGATCATAGGTAAAGACAATGTGGCCAGGAGAAAGTTTAAGACATGACTTTGTCAAGCCTGCTTGTGGCTCAAACAGTTAAGTCACTTATGCTCTCAACCTCTGTTTCTTCATCTTCAAAATGGGAAGAATAACATCTATTTCATAGTGTGGTATAGAGATTAAATGATGTCATGCACTACAGCACATGTAACTGTTCAATCAGTGTTACCAACAATGCTGCTCAGACACTCAGACACCAACAGACACTCAGTCGTGTCTGACTCTTTGCGACCCCATGGACTGCAGCATGCCAGGCTTCCCTGTCCTCCACCATTTCCCTGAGCTTGCTCAAACTCATGTCCATTGAGTCGGTGATGCCATCCAACCATCTCATCCTCTGTCGTCCCCTTCTCCTTCTGCTTTTTATCTTTCCCAGCATCAGGGTCTTTTTCAATGAGTTGGCTCTTCAAATCAGGTAGCCAAAGTATTGGAGCTTCAGCTTCAGCATCAGTCCATCCAATGAACATTCAGGACTGATTTTCTTTAGGATTGACTAGTTTGAACTCCTTGCTGTCCAAGGGACTTTCAAGAGCCTTCTCCACCACCACAATTCTAAAGCATCAGTTCTTTGGTTCTCAGCCTTCTTTATGGTCCAACTCTCACATCCATACATGACTACTGGAAAGACAAAAGCTTTGGCTATATGGACCTTTGTCAGCAAAGTAATGTCTCTGCTTTTTAACACACTGTCTAGGTTTGTCATAGCTTTTTTCCAAGGAGCAAACATCTTTTAATTTCATGGCTGCAGTCACCATCTGCAGTGATTTTGGAGCCCAAGAAAATAGTCTTTCACTGTTCCCATTGTTTCCCCATCTATATCCCATGAAGTGATGGGACCGGATGCCGTGATCTTAGTTTTTGAATGTTGAGTTTTAAGCTTTTTCACTCTCCTTTTTCACCTTCATCAAGAGGTTCTTTAGTTCCTCTTTACTTTCTGCCATAAGGGTGGTATCATCTGCATATCCGAAGTTATTGATATTTCTCCCAGCAATCTGGATTCCAGCTTGTGCTTCATCCAGCCCAGCATGATGTACTCTGCATATAAATTAAATGAACAGGGTGACAATATACAGTTACCAACAACAAAACTTAGTAATCCTACCATTATTATGCCACAACTCTCACTGTTGTTCTGTACTTTGAGAAAACAGACCTACAAAAGAGCATATAACTCATTAAAAAAAAAAAAAAAGAATGACAATTAGTGTCAACTATCACTCAGCTTCTGTGTCAGAAAGACAAGAGGGAACAGTGGCAGGAGCAGTGAGGAGCCACAGCATTCCGGCCTCCTCTCAAGGGGGCTGCTCCCCCCAGTGAAGTATGGTCATGGGGTCAGCAGGCCCAGCATGGCCAGGTATGGCAGTTAGCTATTGCTACCTGACAAACTACCCCCAGACTCAGTGACTTAAAACAATAAGCATTTATTATTTACCTACAACCTATGGGTCAGGTAGGTAGTTCTTCAGTCTTGGCTGGATTCACTCATGCATGTGAGGTCATCTTTTGGGTCAGCTGTGAGTTATTTGCTGATCTTGAATAGGCTCTCTTGCGTGTCTTGGGCCTTGGCTGGGACAACGGAGATAACTTGTGTTTGTTTGATATGATCTCTTACTCTCCTATGGGCAAGCCTGAGCTTGTTCACAGGGATCTTGACATGTTTCCAAGAAAGAGAGAGCTATGTCCAAGGCCTCTTAGGTCCAGGCTTAGGACTGGCATGCTCATTTCTGTCATATTATTTTATTGGATAATTTTAAGATAGTTTATTATTAACCAAGAGCCATCAGGATTTACAAAAAGGAATAAGCATAGCTAGCTTAAGATAGCTACTGCCAAAGAACCCAGGAGATACCTGGGACCTCCACCAAGGACGCAGACAGCCGACCACCTGCCAGCCTTGGGTCCACACTGGCACAGAGCAGAGCACCTGAGGGATCCTGCTTCCCCACTGACAGCCCGTTCTCAGGTTTGACCGTGACAGGAACCCCAGAAATACCCCTTTAGACTGCCCAAGACCTCTGGCACTGCAGCGGAAGTTTCCTTCTCACGGGACTAGAGAAGATTAATAAGTGACAACTGTTATTCTTAGATCCATTTTCCCTTACTAAAAATAGGATGTGCATTCACAGTTATGGAGAATGATGCCTGCAAATTTCCAGCAAAATGATTGTATTTGTCTCAAAATTCTTGTGTGTGTAGTTACTCAGTGGTGTCTGACTCTTTGCAGCCCCATGGACTGTGGCCCACCAGGCCCCTCTGTCCATGGGATTCTCCAGGCAAGAATACTGGAGTGGGTAGCCATTTCCTTCTCCAGGGGATCTTCCCGACCCAGGGACTGAACCCAGCTCTCTTGCACCGCAGGCAGTTTCTTTACTCTCCAAGCCACCAGAGAAGCCAAAAACACAGTGCGGTGCATCAGCTGGGAACTGAACCCAGGCCTCCCGCACGGCAGGCGGGAATTCTACCACTGAACCACCAGGGCAAGGCTCAGAATTCTCACTGGCATATTTCAGTAAAAAAATCGGGAGGATCTTGCATTTCAGGGGTCCACATGAGATCAGAGTGTTTGGATTAGATGTCTCCATGACTCATTTCTGTCATATTCTGTTGGCCAAGGCAACTCACAAGACTTGATCGAGAGGCAAAATGTGGAGACATAGATGTCAACTGTTTATGGGAATCACTGTAAAGTGACACTGCAGACTGTGTGGTCAAATGGAGGGGTGAAGAACTGGGGTCATCTTTGCAATCAATCGACCACATGCTGTCTTCCAAGTTTTCAGCAGAAGTTAAAAATCCAAATCGTTATATATGAAATCTCCTGAGTTTTAAGTACTATCAACTAATTTACAACTTTCAAGACAGTGGTGGGTCAACACTCTGTGGGCCAAACACATCAAGTCTGAGTTGGATGTGGTTTGTCGGCCGTTTGCAACCTCTAGGTAAATAATTTGCTGATGTTTCCACAGTACTTGGCTGAAAAGGAGATTTGAACCAGGGCTGTCTGGACTCCAGGCCCATATTCATTCAGCAAAATTTTCATGTCTTCCAAGTAAAGCTTTTGAAAAACAAAGATAAAGAAAACACAGTCCCTTCCCTAAAGGGTCTTCCAGTCACAAGTGCGAGACAATATGTAAACAAACATTTAATTCATGTGATTAAATGCTGTGCTGGGCTGAGCTTAATCGCTCAGTCGTGTCCAAATGTTTGTGATCTCATGGACTGTAGCCCATCAGGCTTCTCTGTCCGTGGGGATTCTCCAGGGAAGAATACTGGAGTGGGTTGCCTTGCCCTCCTCCAGGGAATCTTCCCAAGCCAGGTATCGAACCCAGGTCTCCCACATTGAAGGCAGATCCTTTACTGACAGATTAAATGCTACAGATTGATTAATATAACTTTAGCTCTCTCTCTGCCCTTTCATATATGCCGCACCCTGAGGATGGAGGGAGTGATCTCATTGGTAAATTTGGGGGAAGCACCTGGGTATGTTCCGCTGAGTCCTTCTGTGTGTGTGCTCAGGGCAGGGCCTGACAAAGGACAGTGCATGTTCTCTGAGCCTTCCTGCTGAGAGTCCTTCCAGAACGGTCCCTCCACGCTGTCCGCTCTCCACCCCCTACCTTGGTGGTGCAGAACTGCTGAGAATGGGCAGGAAAGCCACTTGATTCTGGGACTCAGGAAGCAAGCTCATTTAGCTCTCATGTTAGGCTATGCATTCCTACCCAACTTTATCAGCAGTGAAGGTGACATCTTGGCTTCTGACTTTCCCTTCTTTTTAAATTTTATTTCTTATTAATAACTTGTTCAGAATTGGGATAGGGAAAAGATATAGAGACAAGTTATTTATTGAGGGACAGCCTCAGAGACCTCAACGGTACTATGATTATTAGAGTATGTGGTATGTACTATATATATTATATATGTGTACTATATATATTATTGTAATACTATGTAAATATTACATGTAATATACATAATGTCAATATATACATATTTATATACATATATTGATATTATGTATATCACATTTGATATTTATATTACAATCAATATTCACATAATGTTACAATAATAGTTACATAGTATATGTAAATACACATCCCTGTGCATTCACACTCACATATACTCTATGGGCTTCTATACATTTATACACAGGTACGCACAGGCACTCTGAGGCCCTGACTGCTCAGACGCTTCACCATGCTGCCTCCTAGAACTCAACCTTGAGTTTGCGTGTACCTAAGTGGGGGTGTAAGTCTCACATTCAAGCAAAGGAAACAGAAATGTTCTTAACCCAAACAAAAACTGGCATTGAAACCGTGGAACAGCACTTGCTATCATATTACAAAACCGCCTGTTATATTTGACACACACTTTTCCTCCAGGAGTCTCCTTGGATATCATCCGCTTCAGTCTCACTCTAGCTTCTGTCAGCATGTTGTTAAGAAGGGCTTATGTCTTCCAGGAGAAAACGGGTTTGATTTCAAAGGACTCTTAGATTGCCTTGTGGGTCTCAGAATGCCCTGCGTTTACTTATTTACTGAGTGTCCTGAGCACCCAGCACGTGGTGGGCGCTGTGTGGGGCGCCGGGGTAACTACAGAACACGGAGTCGCCTCCCTGCCCCCGGGGAGCTGCGATCTCCAAGGAGAACCTGAAGCCAAGAGAGAGAAGTGGGCGCCGACAGCACACCAGGGCCCGGGGCCGAGGAAGGCCTCAGGTCCTGGGATCTCCGGGCCAGGCTGAGGACCGATGGGCCTCTTGTTTCTTCTGACGAGATTCTCCTTTCACGGCGCTTGCTTTTCACCTGGTGAACGCTTACTGCCTGTTGTGTCCTGAGGACAGTTTGAGGGGGACTAACCAGCCCTTTGCATATTTTCCATCTATCAGAGGAGACTGCAGACTCTCAGGTTGGGCTGGCTGGGGAAGCCCGTCTTCCTCACCAGCTGCAGCCAGAAAGCTCACCCGCTCACCCTCCTTCATTCTCTTTGTTTTTCCTCCTCCCAGCATGCTGCAGCCAAGATGAGAAGGAATCGGTCCCATGGAAGGAATTTCATGTCTCTCTAGCAGTTCGGCAAGACAAGCTTGAGAAGGAAGCCACATCAAAACGGGAGGCTCCTGCCACCATGAGGTAGGTATCTGCAGTGCGAATGAGTCAGTCAGAGCCCTCATTTCCATGAGGCGCCTGCAGCTGCCTTCGGGGCAGTTAATACTTTCCATTCGCAGAGCTATCTGTGGCCATTTACAGTATATGCGTAAGACTCCCCATGATACAACAACCCCCATGTCACCTCATGTTGACAAGTCAATTCTGGGCCCAGAGTAGACTTTGGTTTAACCAGTACTGTAATGTTCTAGATCCAGTCTCTGACCAGGAGACAACATCTGGGGAAGTAAAAACCATGGAGTCAGACGACCTGAGTTAATTAAAACCCCAAACGACTTTAGTTTTCAATCAACTCTTTTTTTTTTTTTAGACTTATTACATATGAATCATTTTCAAAGGCTTTATTGAATTTGTTACAGTGTTGTTCCTGCTTTATGCTTTTAGTTTTTTGGCCATGAGATATGTGGGATCTTAATTCCCTGACCAGGCATTGAACCCACACCTCCTGCATTAGAGGGCAAAGTCTTAACCTCTGGACCACCAGGGAAGTCTCCCTAAATGACTTTAAGGATGTTATTAAAGTTTTAAAATATCAGATTGTGGTTCTATAAAATAATTTTGTTGAATAAGATAATGATAATACCCATCTCACAACGTAATTAAATTGAAATGAGGTCATGTACTCAGCATGTGGGTGGGCCATAAGGAGGCTCAGTAAAAAGTTCACCTCTGTCATTCCTGGGGCATCTTCAGTCTTGCTGGTGACAGAGAAAGGAAAGAGGCAGGAAAACGTACTCCTCGGTCTGACAAAGGTTGTCCCCAGTGCGCAGAATGTATGTCCAATGCCCTCAGTACCACTTGAAGTTGGAATACTTCCCAATCCAGTCAGGTCTTAGAGAGTTAACCGGGCACATAGCTGCCAATGTTTTTTCCCATCCTGGAGACAACAGGTGGAGGAGGCAGGTCTCCAATTGCCCTGATACAACTGGATGGAGCAGGGAGAACCTGTATGACAAACACTTTAGGCCAAAGCACCAACCAGAGGGTGATCCTGAGAGGCATCAAGGGAAGGCTCTGAGGTCAAGCTGGAGAAGTGGAAAAATGGAGAGAAAAACAAGAGTGAGAGTGATAATAGAGAAGGCTTGACTGAACTCTCCCTCTCTGCCCAATTCTCTCTCTTTTTCTCTCTTCCTTGAAAATGTGCAGGAGATGCTACCTGGCGGCACCGGGGCTTTTTTAGAAAGGTGGGCATGTCTACTGCCAGAGAACCTTCTCTGGGGAAAGGGGCAGGCCCAGGAGTGCACAGGAGTGCTCAGTGAAACTTCTGCCTTACAGACGGGGAGTCCCAGGTGGGTGGTGGGCTGCCCTGCTGCAGGGGGCGGGGGAGAGCGCTTTGAGCTCCTCAGGGTGCCAACCAGCTGCACTCAGAGAGAATGGAACATTCTCCTCCTTACATTGATTTAGTCTGATTTTCACTGTCAGATTCTTTAATGAATGCCCTGGGAGTGGGTTGCCATGGTTATGCTGGTTTTAACATCTAGGAACTTAGGGCTAAATGGCTTCCCCCAGGCCCAGCAGCTTTTAGCTGCTGCGTTTAGATTTTTAACTTCTCCTCCTGGGAGACACTGTTCTGCAAAGGGGAAAGGATTGCAGACAGGCCTGTCCTGGGAGCCACGGGGGGAAGGAGGTGGTTTTGGTTTGAAAGAATTTATGCTTTCTCCATAGACAAGAGGTAGAAAAAGGTGGTGATCAAGGGAAAGGGCTTCGTCAGAATCCCAGCTTTGTCCTATACCGTCGATGAGACCTTAGGCTGATGACCTTAAGCATTTGAACCGTGTGCACTTGAAGAGTTAAAGGAGATGATATCTGAGCCATGAGAAGATTCCAGTGAGTGTTGTTCATTAGGTTCTTTCCCTCCTGTTACCGCAAGGGCTCCTAAAATAACCCCAGATGCTGTGTCAATGGCTTCCCAATCTTAGGGAGGGCTGAAGCAATTGCTCAAGGACCTTCCTCTCCAGCCTTTGGGACTTATGTGTGCCTGTTTTGACATCATCTCCCCCCACTGCCACGCCTGCCTGCCTCTCACTGTCCCCCTCTTTTTGATCCTCAACCCTGGCTTTTCACGAGGACTTCCAGGTCCTTCTTGGGTTTTCAGCTGAAGTCACCTCCTCGAGAGGCCTTTTCTCTTTTTTAAAAAATATAATTTATTTATTCATTTTTGGCTGTGCTGGGTCTTTGTTCCTGTATGGGCTTCTCTGGCGGTGGAGCAAAGCTGGAGTTGGAGTGCATGGGGCTTCTCATTGTGGAGACGTCTCTTGTGGGGCACCAGCTCTAGGCTGCACGGACTTCAGTACTTGCAGCGTGTGGGTTCGATAGTTGT